GGGGGGGGGGGGGGAGGCAGGCAGGCGGAAAAAAGATACAGGTGAGTGAGTGAGTGAGTGAGTCGGTCAGCCAGCAGTGGCCAAAGCAAAAATACACACACTCACCATCCATCCATCCGGCAGACAGACAGACAGACAGACATTCAGACAGACAGGGAGGCAGGGAGGCAGGCGGGGAGGCAGGCGGGGCGGGCAGGTGTGTGTGCATGTACGTGTGTGACAGACATGGCGACTGATCTACCACAACCAGCCGACCGAGTTTCCTATATGTGTGTGTGTGTGTTGTATATGGTTGTGTGTATGCAGGAACACGGTTTCCTGACTGATACGTGCAACAGCTTTTGTTATTCATGGTGTGCCGTGCACTCGTGCCGCCACTAAAAGGCTCACTCGAAGGGCTCGCCACCATCGACATCACATCAGCTTATGGCAAAATTGATTGATTTAAGGAAGCGCAAGTGCTCGTAAGCATCAACCGACTGACTGACCTAGCTAGCAAAACAAGTAACCCTCTCCCTCGCTGTCTCTCTCTCTCTCTCTCTCTGTGTGTGTGTGTGTGTGTCAGCAGTGTGGGTGTATCCACTCACACATTGGGTGGTTGGTTCCCTCCCCTTCCGCCCCATGGTCACGTCACCCAGCCGTACCTCTCACTGTGTGTCCGCACGTCGACAAGCAGTGAAAGCATACGGAGAGCGACAACGACCATACACGCCGAGGAAGGAACGGAGGCACCAAAGCTGAACTCAGGGTGCGTGTCACGGATGAGTGAGGGATGTGGGTCCTCTCTGGCTGTCCGTGTCGTGTGTGACAGGGCATGCACTCCCCCCTCAAGCGGCGTGTGACAGTCACACCGTCGACAGGCGGTGCGTACCTGAGGGCAAGCACATGCCTGTACACGCCTAACGGCGAGCGAGAGTTGTCAGCCAAGTAGCCAGCAAGTTTTCCTGATCTTGCCTTCCTCTTGTGTGCCTTGTGAGTGTCCAGGTGTCCGGGTAAGGGGTGTGTGTGTGTGGGTGGGTGTGTGGGTGGGTGCGCAAGAACAAGACGATAAACATGATTGACGATGGATGGTGGCACGGTACGGCGATTCTATCCGAGTCAGTCAGTCAGTCAGTCCGTGTACGCATACGCAGTGTCCGCAGGCAGTGCGCCCCTCCTCTCTGTCGACCAGAAATGACGGCCGCTCTCACTCTCTCTCTCTCTCTCTCTCTCACTGTGACGACAAAAACAGGGCATCCATCCATCCATCCATCCGCCCTCCCGCACAGCTCTCTTGATGATCAAAAAGGCCCTCTCGTCCCCCTCCCGCCTCTCTGCTCTCTCTCGACGGACGGACGGACGCCATTTGCGCATGCATGGCAGGTATGCACACACACGGGGACGGACGGACGGACGACCTAAACGGAAAAAGTCTCACTGGGCCAGTCGGAGGGAGCGGCCAGACAGACAGACAGACAGGAAGAGAGTGTGGGTGGGTGGCTAGGACGGTCGGTCGGCCATCCATCCATACATGCAGACGCGTGTGTGATGATGAGTGTGTGTGTTTATGGCACCCATCCATCCATCCATCATTCCATATTCACAAAAGCCCCTCCCCGCCTCCCCCTGCGACAATAGTCGCTCACTCGAACAAACAAGCAAGCAAACAAACGACACCAGCCGTCCATCCACCACGCCACGCCGCACGACCACCCAGCCATTCAACCACGATCAAAAAAGCGCCCCTGTCACTCCCGTGCGTGTGTGTGTGGGTGTTGTGTAATGAATGACTCGTATGTATGTATGCAATGATGAGTGGTGGTCTGTGTATGTGTGTGTATGGGTGTGTGTGTGTTGGATCGTTCAGTCGGTTGATCACTGGGTCTTCTTGGCGGTGGTGGGCTGCTCGGCGAAGAGCTCGTCGATGCGGAGCGATTCTCTGGCGAGGTTGACGTATCGGTCCCACAGCTGGGCGCCGATGAGGTCCTTGCCCAGGCCGATGGCCTTGTCGAAGTACTCCAGAGAGGTCGTCTGCACAGAGGGGGGCACCTTGTCCCAGACCTACTCACAAAGAAACACACACACACAGTGCATGTAAAACACTCAGTCCGTGTCGCGCGCGCACCATCAAGGCGTATTTCTTGACGAGCTGAGCAGCCCATTTGGCGTAGATGAAGGCCTTGACCTTGGCCGCGTCGATGGTGCTCTTGCCCCACTCAATCAGATCCTGCACACACGTCGACACACACCCATCATTGGTTGGTCAGGCCTCGCCTCGCTTCTTCCCCGACGCACCTGCACGATGACGAATGAGAGAACGAAGTCCCGGACGTCCTCGTAGATGGCCTGGAGCAAGCTCATGCACTGCAAAGGAGTGAATGACACACAAGGTGGCAATGAATGCGGCATGTCAGTCACTAATATGTTCTGTCGCTTCGTCCATGTTGTCGGCGTGTCTGCTCACCCAGAGGACGGCCTGGTCAAGGCCAAAGGCCTTGGCGATGCCGCTGATCTGACATATGCCAACATACACACGGAAGGAACACACCGATGACCTCCTGCCGTTGACCCTTCTCCCTCTATCCATCTCTTTCTCTCTCTCTGCGTTAGCCCAGTGAGTGAAAGAGTGAGTCCAGTAGGTAGTGAGCCTTTAGGCAGTGTGTCTCGCCTCACCAACTCCCAGTACACCATCTGGATGATTTAAAATCGGGGGTGGGAGGGGGGTTGGGGCAGCGGACAGAAGAACAGAAGAGAGAGAGCCCCACCCACCCAGTTAGTCATGTTACGCAGTAAGTCAAAGGCCACCCACGAAGCACACGCACACACCCAGGCAGGCAGGCAGGCCAGGCCGTGCCGTGTGTCTGTACCTTTGCGAAGTTGAAGATGGCGAAGCCGCGGTCCACGAAAAAGACGAACACGCCGCGCCAATACAGGAAGATGTGCCAGGACACCTGCACGACACCACACCACACACAGGGAGAGAGAGGGAGGGAGAGAGAGAGAGAGAGAGGGAGAGAGAGACGATATGTGCGTCGGTCATCGCGGCGTGTGTGTGCGGCTGGTTGACTGAGTGAGCTACTTACCCTCATGGGGAAGAAGAAGATGTGCTGGAGCGTGAAGAACATCTGGATGACGGGGTGGGTGGCTGTGGTGGCGGGCTCCACCTTCTTGCCCTCCGGCAAAGGCAGCCACGTGTCCAACAGCCCGTCGAGCGTCGTCGACACGAAGTTGAGCTGAGACTGAGCCCAGCCCGTCCACTTGCCGATTAGGGTGTCATCGTTGGTGGCCTTCTTGGCCGCATCTATGTACCTGACCCACCACATCACATCAGTCCATCGACCGACCGACCAAGCGATGGATGCACACGACCAGCCTGAGCTGGCTCTCTCCGTGCTGTGCTCACTTTTCGGTCTCCTTGGACATTGAGTCGTAGAGTTCGTTGAGGCGCTCCTGGAGCTCCTTGAAGCCTACCACACACACACACACACACACACACACAGAGGACATGGCCCCGGGTGTGTGTGTTTCTGTGTGGCATCCGTCCTCCCACTCTTTGACAAGCGGCGCGTACCTCCCTCGGTGTATTCGCCTTTCTTAAAGGCCTCCATGTAGGGCTCCCCCTTCTTGGCTGACTCCTTGAGTCCGACCATCTTGAGGACCATGTCGAGTGTGTCGATGATCCAGGTGAGAATGAGGTCCACCGTCTCGTCAACCCAGTCCACCAGAGGCCGCAGACGCGTCACCACCCAAGCGAAGTACTGGGAGGGCTGCACCTTGCCCAGCAGGCCCACCTTGCTCTCCACACCGATCAGCAGGCTGTTGAGCAGCAGGATGATGTTGTGCAGCAGGTGAGGGCGCCCGTCCTTGGGCTTGCTGCTACCGGGAGGTACCGATGTCGCCATTGTGCAATTACGAGTTCACAAGCGATGAGAATACGCTTCTGATTGGCTTCACACGTGTCAGCGAAAGTCGTGCTTCAGGTTTTGTTCTGTCGCTCAGAAAGCTCGCAAAGATGGGGGTTTTTGAGCTCGCAGAAGTTTGAGACGGCACGAGACAGCCCAATTACGGCAGCGGCAACAAGGGAAGGGCAGCGTCTTGACTTTTTTCGCCTGGGACGAATTCGAATTCGTCGGTTGCCGCCATGGGCTGCGCGTGCGGCAAGCGGACAGATGTGGTCAAGCAGAAGAGGTCAGTCAACAGGCAACAACAGCCTAGGACGAAAGAATGCCTCACATTCCCGCCTGCTTCTCTCTCCCTGTCTGGTGCTCCACTCAGCAATGTTGACGTCGAGCCTGGCCCCCTCAACACCATCAAGGTGAGTCAGGAAAGCCCGGAGGCCGTGAACGGAGCCCCCAAGGTGACTGCGGCTGACGGCGATGGCGAGCCCGAGTCGACAGCCCACCCGCTGGCCCCGCCAGCTGAGGGCGGTGATCTCAAGCCGCCCCAGTTTGAGAACGGCGACAATGGCCGGATGCGGGTTGACAGGGTGCCCACGGCGGATGTGGGTAAGGTCTCGGCGGACGAAGCCGCCAAGATGCGCAAACTATCGCAGGGTAGGCGACAAGGAAGGGGATTTCACGACGGACGGCCTGCCTGCCTGCCTGCCTCATTGTCTGTCTGTCTGTGTGCTTTTCATGTGGCTGTTGCAGGCCTCGTTGCATCCGTTATCGAGAAGTGCAGCGAGAAGATGGGCGTCGCTGTGGTGACATCTGGCGAGGGCGGGGCGGCTGGTGAGACGGATGAAGCAGTAGAGGAGGACCGGCTCACCTACGAGGAACGTTTGGTTGTGAGGCTCATGAATGCCACCACACCCGAACAGACCGAGGATGCCCTGGAGGAGATGCTCAAGACAGTCAATGTTGTCGACCCCAAGGAAACTGACAGCCCGGTGGGCGCGGTGCGGTGCGGACGCACACAGACGGCAGGCAGGCCGGCAGGCCGGCAGGCCGGCAGGCCGGCACATGGGGGGGGTGGTCGTTATGTGTGTGGTGTGGTTCAGGTGCGCAAGGCCTTGGCGGATGCGGGCTGCATCGACGCGTGCCTGTCTGTGCTCAACAGGCGGCCGCCATCTGCCAGTTCGTGTGAGGGTGCCCTCGGTGTGCTGCTGGCTCTGGCGCTCAACGACGACACACACGCCAAACTCTGCCAGAAACAGGTGCGCATGTGGCTGACCGACCCATATATCCAAACAGAGGTGCTGTGCTCATCCGTCCATCTGTCCGTCCATGTGTGTTGTGTGTTCAGGTGCCACACGGTGTGATGGGTGCAGTGGGTGCGCTGTTTCCTGAAGGCACCAGCGGCATCTCAGCCTCATTGTCGGCCGAGGACCTCGCTACCCTGGTCAACGTCGCCTGTCTGGCATGGCGGCTCCTCTACGCCATGATTGCCGGCGACCAAAACATGATACAGGTGCGGTGCATGTCTGTGCTCCACGCCGAATTCGTGTAATCATTTGTCTGCGTCTGTGTGTGTCCCGTGTGTGTGTGTGTGGTCAGCCGTGGGTGGACGAGGGAGGCGTGAAGATTGCCCTGGATTTCGCTGCTGACGCTGACAGCAAGTGCGACGGCCACCAGGAGGTCTACGGCTGGTCCCTCGCTGCACTCAGGTGACTGACTACGAGGACACACACCACACCACACACCCATGAGCAGCCTTACCCACGCATTCCACTCTGCGTACCTAACGATATCGTTGCAGGGCTTTGGCGAGTGGCGAAAAGGCCTCTGCCATGTGCTCATTGATGGTGACTCAGGGGGCCCTCCGCGTGATCCAACACAGGCTTGCGACCGCCCTAAGCACCTCGCCCCCGCCCGTGGAGGACGAGAGGCGGTGGGGCGGGATGCGCCTGTGTGTGGAGCATGCCATGGGACTGCTGGGCGGCGTCCAACAGAACTGCAGCGAGGTCTCATGGCGACTCACCCACAGGCCAGTCACACCCATCGGCGCCAGTGAGACGGAGGGAACACTGGCCAACTCGGCTGAGGTAGGTACGACTGACTGTATGGACACGGTGTTAACACCGAAAGGCAGGCCAGATGGGATGGCGTACTGAGAGTGGGTTTGTATGGTTGCGTGCGTAGGTTGGTTTGATGTGGAAGTTGGTGTGTGGGCTGCTCAAGGCCGACCATTGGAACGATGACGAGCAGCTGGTGCTCCAGGGAGTGTTTGCGCTCGGCATGGCCCTGGCCAACGACGTCTCCAACCGGGACGCCATCAGGTGAGTGACCACTAACTGCCGACACAGACAGACACCAATAAATGAATGAATGAGAGGATGGAGATGTCATGTCGTTCTCCTTCATCTTCAGGGCCGATGGAGGCGAGGCTGCTGCAAAGATTGCGCTCACCAAATATGCGCACCACCCTGAGATCACCAAGTTCGCCCAGGGTCTCCTGACGCTGCTCACCCCCCAGCCGGGCCAAGAGCAGGACACCACTTCAACCGCCCCGCCCGCCACCAAGACACTCGAGTCTGAGGAGACGGTCCAGCAAGCCCCAGCTCCTCCCACGGATGACAAGGACGACGGCAAGAAGGCTGCAGAGGAAGAGACAGCAGCGGTGGTCGAGCGAGAGGCGGTCGCCAAGCCGCCTGAAGAAGGGGAGGCTCCTGAGGCGGATGAGGTAGAGGGTGAGGGCGGTGAGGCTGCCACCGCCCCAGATGACGCACAGCAGGGAGAGAAGGAGGAAGAGGCGGCGGCGGTTGATGCCGGTGCCCCTGAGGGCGGGGCTGGTGCTGATGAGCCGGAGGTCGCTGCAGGTGCTGCGGACAGGGCTGACGAGCCTGTTGCTGCGGCGGAGGCCGAGGCCGACGCCGACGGTGAGGGTCAGGAAGAGGCTGAGGGTGAGGCTGCAGGTGGTGGTGAGGGGCAGGGGACGACTGAGGAGGAGAAGATGGAGGTGCAGGCACAGGCACTCGCTGACGTCCTCGTATCGTAACACACTCATTCACTCAGTCGCTGACTCGCTGACTCACTCAGTCACTGGCTGGCTGGCTGCTCGTGACTGACTGGTGCTTTTGCGTCCTTGAGTGCCTGAGAGTGGAGAGGAAGAAAGAGGAGAGAGAGGAGATCCCTTTTTCATAGCCGCATCGATCGTACGCACGCACACACCTAATATCTAACAAGCTGACTCTGTGTAACAATTGAGAGAGTGTGCATGGCATGGCATGGCATGGCATGCAAGGACAAGAATGGATGGATGGATGGATGGCCCGTCCGTCGTGTCGTGTCGTGTCGTGTCGTATCACACGCGGGTGTCGGTGATCTGACGGACAGGACACAACGAACGAACGAACGAACGAAGGAACGAACGAATGGGAGGTAGGCTGCTGATGACTAACTAACCTTAACGTGTGTGTGTGTGTGGTGGGGCTCCCTCGGCAGGCAAGGCAAGGATCGTCTTCTTACAGGGGGGATGGCGGCGTGTCTGTCTCTTACTTGATTGGTTGAGCGGAGTAAGCGGGGGGGATGCACCAACTGGTACCGGTAGGATAAAGTGTTTGTTTGACCGGGTGGTCTGCTTGTACACTACTACTCGCCTGGCCTGATTGACATGACGGCCGGCTTTTGTGGCCCTTACCTGCCGGGCCCATGCCAACCCACCCACACCATCATGTCTCATGTCTCATTCGTATCTGTCTGATGTCTAGGACTAAACTGTCTGTCGGTACTCCGGCCTGAGGGCTCTCCCGCCTCCCCCCCGTTGTTGTGTGCGTGCAGACCTGCAACGCGGCTAACCGGTCACACTCTAGCTCGACTATTTGTGTGTGTGGCTGGCTGGCTGACCGACTGGCGGCATGTTGCGAGTACACTCGACATTCACACACTTTTGTGGCGATGCGATGCGATGCGATGCGCTGCATGCACATCCACATGTCACATTTTTCTGCACGGCATGGCATGCATTGCATCGGACGGACGGACGGACGGACAAACTTGGTTGTCCATCGCCCACTTGTCCCGAGTAGCTTGTTGGTCGCCTCTTGCCATCCATAATGCATATCTACATCACATCTACACACACACCACATCCATCACATGATCCATACATAACACATTTATGACCTCTCCCTTGCCTGCCTGTCTGCCTGCCTGCCTGCCGTGCTGTCGTCTTACTTATCTATTTATGCCATCCATGCACACCTACCTTACCTACACTACACACACCCACTCACCGTCTGGTAGGAGTCTTAGGGGAGGGGAGGGGAGGAGGGAAGCGTGTGCATACATGCCATGCTGTGCCGTGGATGGGATGGGATGGACGGGTAGATGAACGATGCTGGCCGTGTGTTTATCAAGTCATGGGTGGGATGGGTCGGTGGAAGACTGCGGCTTTGACACATCGATGGATGCGTGTTTGTTTGTTTGTTTCCAGAGCCATTTTTGGATGCGGCGGTGATCAGTCAGCCGTCCGTCGGTTGATGTAGACGTCTTGTTTACGTACACACCGCCTCATGAGTGTGCTTGTTTGTGCGGACCTCCATGGGATGTGTGTGATCCCTATCTAAACCGTCGCCTTCGTTCTCAGACTCACTTCCTTCTCACACACTAGCGTCCTGTCACCATCCATCCATCCATCCACCCACACATCACCAATTTCTCTCTCTCGCACAGCACCGACTACAAATGGCCCACCCCCTCCCCCCGGCGCCCCTCCCTCTGTCCATCAGTCAGTCAGTCATCAGTCAAGGAAGAGTATGACGACCAGCATGGTCTGGGTCTTGGCATCCTGGGCCGTCTGAATGATGGTCTTGCTGTCATGGAATGCGAAGGCGATCAGGTGGTCGGTGTGGTTGAGCAGCTTGGCGTTGCACCGCTTGGCCGCCTCGTCCAGCGGCAGACAGTCATTCTCGGGCATCTCAACTATCTGCTTGACCTTCCGAAGCAACTCCTGCACACCACACCACACAAAACAATACAATACGATACACACCACCGAGATCATCTGCATGAAGGGACGGACGGCAGCCAGCAAGCCCTCCCTCCCTCTCTCTCTCCTGTGCTGTGTGTGCGTCCTCCGACTCCGACCGACCTGCGCTTCGGGCACTTGTCTGTCGAAGGATTGTGGCAGTATGACAGTGAGGAGCTCACTGCAGTTGGCTCGCAGCGCCCCCCTGACGGCCGCCGCGTTGGTGCCGCTGGCCCCCGAGGTGTAGACATGGTTGCCCGAGAGGACCAGGGCGTAGCTGAGGAGCTCGATGATCTGCTGGTGCAGGTAGCTGCAGTGCCGCGTACCGAGGATGCAGTACTTGCGCGAAGAGGTGTCCTGGATGGCCTTGAGCTCCTTCAGAATGCTCTCGATAGACAGACCCGGCAGCGGCGGGACTGGCTGCGGATTGCCCACGTTGGGCGGGCTCTGCGGGATGGCCACCTGGGCCGGCGCAGACGAGGCGCCATAGCTCTCGATGTCGGCAGCCGCCGCGTGGGGCGACTCACTCTCCACCCAGCCACCATTCAGAGCAACACCCCTCTCAATCGCCGCTGCTGTCGTGTTGTGGTGACCCTGGGCCGTCGCATTGCTGCTCCACTGCATCTGACGATCAGGCTCGTCGCTCCTTGCACGACAATCGGCATCACACTCACCCTCACCCTCAGAAGTGTCGCCATCACCAAGAGCAGCAGCAGCAGACAGCACCGGCAGAGATGATCTCCGAAGCCGCCGCAGCAGCTGATAGTGGTGCCTCCCTCGGCGAGCTGACTCATCGTGAGCGGACATCGGTGGAGATGGCGGCCTCCGGATGCCTGTGAGGAAGGCCTCGCCCTCCCGATGATGCCGCGTCGTCGCGTCAGGGCCCATTCGCCGGATGTCAGCTTCTCTCGCCAGCAGTCTCCGTAAGTGTTTGGCCTGGACTCTGACGCGAGAGAGGAGGGACTGGACGGCAATCAGCAGCAGGGCGACGGACGTCGGGGTGAGGCGGAGGACGGTCATGAAAATGGGGCATTCATCCGCCGGGTCTGTCTTGGCTTGGACTAAATCAAGAAGACAAACAGAGATGTCGACTTGGGATGCCAGATGGGCCGAGGAGAAAGAGGCAACCTCTGCAGGCTCGGCTCGCAGATCTGCGATCGTGAGGGAGGACCTTTCTCCCCTTTCTCCTTCCTCAGGAGCCATCCGTGGTGTTCTCTGGAGGCCCTCGATCTCCATCTTGGGTATTCCTAAAGACGCAGGTAGGTAAACCCACCAACGACACGCACACAGCGTGGGTGTAGGAGCACAGAACAAACTGCTCGTGCACTGCACCACCCTCAGTCCGTCACTCTCAGTGACTGACCCTTGCCAGCCATTCGTCCGTCCATGGATCTTTATTGGTGTCTGGATGTTTGCAGAGGCGTCTTACCGCAGCTGGCCGAAGCGGCAGAGGCACTCCCACCAGCCCGCAGCATCACCGCCAGTATCCTCCCCTCTCCCTCCCCCCCTCCACCACTGCCACTGTCTACCGCGATGAACAACAGCGAAGAGTTTATGTGCCCCGAGCTGCGAGTGGCCCTGTGTCATCTGAAGGAGGCTCTCCGGTGCCTGCTGCACAGCGTGGTGTTCTGCCGCTCGCTGGGCGCCCACAATGTGGTCACGCCCATGTCCATCTACTCTGAGCAGCTGGAGCTCGGCTATGTCAAGTGCTACTCGCCCGACCTATCTATCGACAACCTTATCGAGACCCGCATCAACGCATTCGCCACGCTGTTCGAGCGGGAGCTGGCCATCCCCACACACACGCACACGAATGTGCCACCCTCGCAGGGCACAGCCGAGCTGGTCAGTTGAGTTGGGGGGAAGACAGTGCAGTGCCTGGCCTGGGCGGGAGTCCACTTCTCTCTGTGTGTTGTGTGGTTGTGATTGTACAGAGGATAGGTTTCTATGTGCCCCGTGCGAAGCGTGCCATCTGGGGCATCTTCAAGCCGCCCGACGAGAAGATATTCTTCGAAGTCTGGCGCATCCCCATTCGCGTCAGCGTCCCCTCATCCTCCCCTCCCCCGTTCACACGCTCCCTGCGCAGCAGCACCACCGCCGCCAGCCAACAAACCCCGCCCCCGCCACCCGACCCACAGTCAACCGCTGGCCATGCCGCTGCTGCTGGTGCTGCTGCCGCTGCCGTGGCGCCTTCATCGTCGTCTTCGTCAGCCGGAGATGCCACTCGGCTGCTTGAGGATGAGCTGGCGATGCGGCGGGATGCGCACACGGAGGTGCGTCGGGTGCTCTTGTACATCATTGAGAACGTCAACAAGAAAAGGGACCACCTGCCGCCGCCAAGGGACCAGCAGTCGATATACTGGTAGGGGGTGGGGTGGTGGGGGGGTCAGTGGAGGGGAGGGGAGATGGCTGCCATGCCATGCCATGCCATGGCTGTGCTGTGTGTTGTGTGTTGTGTGTGGTCGACTCAGGTTTGAGGTGAGCTACGACATTCGTGGGCAGGATGGGTCGGCGGCGTGGCATCTGCCCTCCGCCATTCGATCGCCGCCCGGCAGGAAGCTGCCCTATATCACATGAAGGATGGATGGATGGATGCACTCACTGATGGAGAGAGAGAGAGAGAGAGAGAGAGAGGAGAGGAGAGCAGAGAGACACCGATGATCAAGTGGCGTGGATGGTCAGTGTGTCAGATCTGCATTCATGGTAGTCTTGTTTGTACAGTGGGCGGCCGGTGGGAGGGAGGGAGGGAGGCTTGGGGCGATGAGATAGATGAGATGAGTGTGTGGAGCAGGGCAGGGCAGGGCGTGTGTGTGTGTACGCATGTGTGTGCTGGCTGGATGGATGAGTGAGTGCGATCGATAGATATCAATGGCGCCTTTTTGGTCAATCAAATGGTCTGTCTGTCTGTAATATAGATATACAACTACTAGACAAAGATGATCGATGGACTTCATGACCGACCTGCCCGTCGTTAGGCGTGTGATGGATCATTTACTAATTCAAACGTCAGTCACCATGTTCCATTCCATAAACAGACATACACACACACACACACACACATGCACACACGTGCACTGCACGGCCACACACATGACGCAGCAAGAGGTACAAATGTTGATATATGATTAGATATGGGCACCACATCACATACATGTATCACACACACATGTAGACAGGCGGGACATGCATACGAAACGAATCCACCCTCCCCTCCCCCTTGTCCACTACCAACATACAAATTAGCCTTTTCTTGTAGAGAGCGAGTAGAGAGAGAGTGAGTAGACAAACAGTGTTCGGATCGGATCTGCATATACATGTAGACAGACAGTGACCTGTGTAGGTTAGGTTGCACAAAAGCAGCTTTGGCTTAGATACACCCTTAACCCCCGTGCATCGCATCACAGCCTTACCTGAGCACAGAAAGAGGGAGACACTCACACATACAGACATACATACATCCATAGAGAAATACACACATACGCGGCAGTCCCATGCATGGTATGCAGCACAGCACGTACTGATCGACAACACCACCAAAAAAGACTTCTCACTAGCTCACTAGACAAATACGGAACAGACACGCACCAATACACACATACACATGGAGCCAGCAGACAATTAGCGAAAAATGCCTGGCACACAAATACATACAGAGTGCAGATAGATATAGACAGACTGACTATTGAAGCAATCATATCATCAATCAAAAGGATGGCAGGCAATTGCATTGCACACACACCGACGAGCAAAAGCCACACAAATCACACAAATCACACAAATCCATTGATTCCATCCATCCATCCACAGGAAGTGAAGCGACATACATTCACACATACACTTCCATCCATCTACTCAATCAAGCACCGCCCCTCACACACATACAATACAGGCATAGCATACACGCTTACGCATCCACATACAGACGACACGACCTGCATCCCCCCCCGGGCCCTCAGAAAAGACCTACCCTACCCACCGCCCTGCACCCCACCTCTCTCTCCCTCTTTCATTATTTCTCCCTCTCACTCTTCCGCTCTCCCGTGCTGCGGTGCTTCTTGCCCCTCGTGAGCGCCCGCACCACCGCCTTGAGCCCCTCACTGTTCAGTCCAGCAGGCGTCATCGGGTGCACTTCACCGCCGCCATCTCCATCTCCATGCCCCTGCCTATCCCTCTCCCCAGGCACACCATCGACAGGGGCAGCTTGCTCGTCGTCAGGGTTGGGGCTAGGCTTGGGGGGATCCACCTTGATGGGCGTGGGGTCGTGTTGCTCCACCTGCTCTTCTTCCTCCGTGCTCGGCTGCTCCAGTCTGCCCGGGTTGGTCTTGGAGCGATACTGCTGCCTCGTGTATGGCGACACGGGGAGGTCGGTGGAGGGAGAGGTGGCCGCACCGTTGGCCTGCGGGCGGCTCCTCTCAGGCGGCCGTGATTTGGACCTCGATGCCAGCCACACTGCCAGCGGGTTTGGGGTGGACACCGGCGTGGACGACATGGACCAGGGCCGCCAGGCTCGCGACGAACCGGTGGGCGGTGCGGCCTTGGTCGCCTCTGGTGTGTGTGCGTCCTCCTGTTCCTTGACGACCGCGACGCTTCTCCTGTGCGTGTCCATGCTGATGATGGCCGGAACGGGGCTGGCGTCGCCTGTCTCCCCGCTGGACGGAGTTGTCGTCATGAGCGACATCGACGGGCCGAGGGATGTCTGCGTCCGGTCACCGGCGCTCGGGGGCGCTTCGGGCTCCTCCTCTGTCGCCCTTCCTGTCTCGTCAGCACTACCAGTGGACCGGTGGGATGGAGGGACGCCGGCCTCCTCAGGGGCAGGAGGGGGATGGGCACATCGCGGCGGCCTCTTGCTGGTCGCCACCCTCCTCCCCTCGCCGTGGTTGTCGGTGTGCCGGGTCCTGCCTGGGCCTGGTTGCCTGCCGATGGGCGAGATGAGGGCCTTCATGGGCGAGGTGCCGTGTTTGTTGCGGAGATGGTGGGGCACCGGCCCCCAGCAGAGGAAGGGGCCGCCCTCCTTCCACACATAGTAGGACCGCAGCAGCCACAGCAGAAGCAGCAGGAACAGGGCCGCCCCGATGGCACCCACCAGCACGGGAAGCACGACGTGGTGCGTCTTGGAATTCTCGCGGAACACAGCTGCGAGCGACACGGCACAGAGACAAAGTGAGCCGGCTCAGCCAGCCGACGGGAATGTGGCTGGCACGTGTTGGTTGGCACCGCACCTGGGAGTTTGTCATTGGGCAGCGGCCAGCCACAAGCGATCTTTCTGGAGGCCATGATGGGTCGTCTGTCCCGAGTGTGGGTGATGCCGATGCCGTGGTGGGTCGTCCTGTTGTACTCGTCGTCAGCCAACTGGTGCGTGCTCCACCCCTTGAGCGAGCATGTCGTCGTGCGCATGTCATAGACCACTCCCCCACACCGCCCGTCGCCCGTGCACCACTGCTGGCACTCCTTGAATGTCTCGGCGCTCTCAGACCACAGGGCGCCGCCGCGCGACAGAGACGAGTGATCCTTCTCGTCGGCGAAACACCAGTGCACTGCACATAAACAGAGAGACCGACAGGCGGGGATTTTTCTGTTTGTTTCTGCACGGGTTTCCCTTTGTCTGTCGGCTCTTCTCCTCTCACCGCAATATCTTGGCCCGGCTGTGCTGTTGTGGTGCTGCTGCGTCTTGTCGGCTTGTATGTGCGAGAACACCCGACAGGTGTGTGGCTCTGTGAACGAGAAGTGCCTGCATCGTGGGTGCGCCTGGCAGGTCCGCTGGCAGTCCTTTGCCGACGATATGGGGAAGGACGGGTAGCCCAGGTCGCCCAGCACGGGATTCCTTATCGGCACCGTCAGCTCGCCGCCAGCCGATGGCTGGTACCGCGTCGCCTTCTCATAGCAAAAGTCTCTGCCTGAAAAACACAGATAAGCGCTCCCCCAGTGAGAGAATAACCACCATCGCGCAGCGTCATTCTGACCATAAGGGTCCGGTAGTGTGGTCATATCCGAGTGCCTCAGGGCGATCGTCAGCCGTCCGCCCTCCTGCCGGACGGTGCTCTTGCTGAAGTCGCTCCGGCTCAGTAGGAAGGAGGATTCCACCAGCACCCAGTCGCCCCCCTTCCAGGCCTCAAGCACCTTGCCGTCCTTGGAGAAATGCTCCTCATACGCGGGGGTGAAGGCTCTCGTCTGCAGGTCGTAGTCCCACACGCGCACCCAGTCAAACTCCGCCCTGGCCGGGAGGGCACATGATTTGTCGTCGAATGCGCCGCCCCAGTCCTCGATATAGGGGTGCACCACCCACACCGACTGGTGCAGCTCCATCGGCCGGGAGGGGACGCTCACGTCGTCGTCGCCGTCTGATACATACCTGATTTCAGTGCCGTCGACGAGCCACCTGACGTACTCTGGCGTCCACTCAATGGCGAAGGTGTGGAGCCTCTCGGCGAAGGACATGCCATCGGGGCTGTGGTGTAGCTGCTGTGAGAGTGTGCGGTTGCCGTCGACCCCTCCGATAATATTGGTCTGGAGCGTGGCTGCGTCGTCCTTGCCGAACACCTCCACGTCGATCTCCTGCCACCCGTTGCTGTCATCCTCGCTCTTGGGGTTGTACAGAAAGAACGACACCTGACAGACAAGCAGAAGGGACAGGGATACGCACACACATGCCGTACGTCTGTCTGCCTGTCTGTCTGTCTTTGAGTGTCCGCTCTTGTAGGTCTTACGAGCACGCCGCTGCAGTTGATGGCCTGAAGGCGCGACTCGAACCGGCCGTAGAGGTAGACGTCCTTGGAGATGGCCCCTCCGCCCTGCAGCAGCTTCTGGCAGCTCCCCCACCGGGCGTCGAAGGCCAGCCCGCCGTCCTCGCCATCAGAGGGGCACTGGGACACGACGACCGTCACAAACAAGAAGGAGAGCCAACTAGAGGAACAAGGAAGCAGCCGGCGCATAATCCAGTGGGGTGTGTGTGTTGTACGATTATTTCATCCTCGACCTTTCATTCATCGCGAGTAGAGGAAAAGAATGGGGAATGACGTGACGGTGCCCAGCAGCCGGCAGGCCCTGCCGCCGGCCAGGGAGAACGAGGCCATCGATTTCATCCACAGCCTGGGGCGGGATGCCATCCACACACTCGAGGGCATCGGCATACTCAGATGCACGGCCGCCTTCCTATCGCAGATAGACTTCTCGGCCGCCGTCCTCCGCAATCGGCTGGGGCGCTGCCTGGCGGCCAAACACCTCGACGGCATCATCGCATTCGATTTGCAGCTGGGGACCAAGCTCGTGTTGAAGGCCATCTGGCTGGTGGACACGTAGCAGTGGACCGAGGTAGCCAATGCGCTGAAGGTGGCGGCGCAGCGCGGCTTCTGTCAGCTGCCCATCACACTGGCTGTGGCCGACCTGCAGCGTCACGATAGCAAACAGGTGGGCAGATGAGCGTGGGGCGGGGGGGGGGGCACTCATCGGTTTGTCTGTCTGTCTGTCTGTGTAGGCGTATTTGGCCGATGTGCGTGTGATTGCGTTGTGGAAGATGGTCGGCAGACACGTCAACTTCGGCGGCAGCTACGGCCGTTTTGAGCTGTTTGACCAGCCGGGCGGCGGTGTGCGTGCCATCAAGGACGAGTCGGGCTTCGAGCTGGACATCAACCCGCCCCTCCCCCCC